AAGCTTTTCTTTGTAAAAACTTCAATTGAATTTCAATAAAGTTAAAGGCATGGCCTCACTGCTAATATTTAAAAAAAAAGCAAATTATTAATTAATATAATGTGCATATACAATATATAAACTAAGAATTTTTTTTTTTTTTTTTAAAAAAAAAAATTAAAGATTAGAACTAGATCAAACTTTAGCTATGCAAAGAATTGCAAAACACAAAAAAAATAAAAAACATCTTTCTATAATATTATATTTAAATGCTAATAGATCTTACAAGTTAGCTCTTCTTATAATTAGCAAATATGCCAAATTCTGATGTTTTAAAAATATGAAAATTAATAACTTATCTATAATATATAAAAATTATACTAAAGCTTGAATGCTTGTAGTTCTGTTTTAGAAATAACTTTAAGATTTTGATTACCAAATGTTACAAAAATATAAGGATCAATGTGTTCTTTTACTTATAGACAATTGTTTTAGTTATAAGTTAGATAGGTTAACTTTTCATTATATAGATGTTTATTTTTTATCTAAATATACAACTTCAAAGTTACAACTAATAGACTTAGAAATAATTATGCCTCTAAAAGAGCCTATTATCATTATTACTACTGGTAAATTATTATTATTATATTTTTTTTTATTGTTTTACTTATAATTCACTTTATTATTATTTTAATTATTGTTTAATTTATTACAATTCTTCATTCTGATATTCATATTTTTTTTTTTTTTGGTATTAAGGTGACCTCTTTGGTCTTTTGACTTTTATTAATCACTTGTTGATATTGTGGTTCAATGAACCACTACAGGAGAGTGTACAATTGGCTACATGTGTAACTTTTCTATATTATCTATTTAAGGAGTCTGCCCGAAGGGTCCCCACCAATTGCCGTACCTAACACCCCTGCTTGGGTGTTCCACTTTGAACACTCTGAATCTGTAACCTGTGTTAACATCACTGGTCATCATCATTCTATATTTATAATTTGTTTTTTATCAATATGTACAATGAATTTATTTTTTTATTATATCGAAGTTCTAATTTGGTTAGCAATTTAAATATGAAAACTTACTATTTTTTGTTATGACTTTTGTGATATTTCTGGTTTATAACTCACTTTTTTCCTGATTTATTCATGCTCTATCTGAATTACTTATTTTTGGTTATCTGTATCATGCTAGCACTGATTTTGCTTTTTTGTTAAACCGTTAATTTGGTTTTTGTATAATGATTTGCTATATTAATACCTTAAAATTTTAAATTTATTGTGTCAAAGTTTCTTATCTCATTATTGATTTGATTAGAATTAGAGATGGGTTTTATGCATGCACATGTTTCTGTTTTATGTGCATTTTATCCTATCAAAATTTCTCTCTTCTTGATTGTTTTTACTTTTTTTTTACTTTTTTTTGTCATGCGATATCATGTGCATGAAACATTTCGTATGCATAAATGCTTATTTTTTCCATTACTAATTAGAATACCTACTATTCCTTATTGTGGCTTTGGAATTTGATGTTTAGATTCTTGACTCAATTTTTTATTGTTTAATTTGTGCCTATAGCTTTATTGCCTATTTTTTGGCATTGATTTGTGAATTATGTTGCTGTTTTACCAGAAATAGAGTTTGTACAATATACAATGTAGTATATGTTATATGAACCTGTACAAAATCTTAAATTGGAAGATATGCATGCATTTCAGATTTAAAGTCATCCAGTTGTGATTTCTATTTAAAAAAAATATTAAATTGGATTTGATAAAATATAACAAATGCATGTTTTAATATGTATGAGATTATTTGGCCTGCATTAGCATATCATCTGGCCTGCATTAGCATATTATCTGGCCTGCATTAAATATAATCCGGCCTGCATTAACATTAATGGGCCAGTTTCTAAGACTGGCCACCAAAAAGTTTTAAACATCATATAACAAAGATATTGAGCACTAAAAATTCATGTAGCTTAACAAAAAAATACAACCAAAAAAATTTAAATGTTAAGTAATAAATTAATTATTTTATTTATTTGAATAACTCAATAATCATATTATTTATTATAGCCAGAAAGTATTATACTTAGTGTTGTTAAGCAAAACAATTTGGGGCAAATGATGAAAGATGAAACCTAAACCTGGTGAAAAATAAAAGACGAAACTCCTGGTGAAACCGACAAAATCTGGCAAAAAATAAAAGACAAAACTCCCCAGTGAAACAAACAAAACCTAGCAAAACTGGCAAAACTTCTGGCCAAAATCAAAACCTCAAAACTCAGCAAAGATCAAATCCTCTAATACTTTGAAAAAAACTAAGCCATGTGTATGAATAAAATATTTTGTGTAGCTATTAAGTACAGCATGTGGCTTATATAAAAAAGTATAAGCAAAGCAATAGCTTTTTGTTTGTATTCAAATACTATTAAAAGAAAATTAGAATTCAAATATTTAATAAAAATAATTTGTATGTAGCTCATATAAAAAATGCACAAAGTAATAAACAAAACATTAATCTTAACTCTAATTAACCTAGTTCTAACAACAATGACCAGAATTATATTGTTGATCAAATGACTGTTAGTATATTGTATTGTCTATAAAATGAACTTGTTAGTAAATTGATTGTTGATAAATTGTACTGTTGGTGAACTGATTGTTAATAAATGAATGAAACTCTTTTGTTAGTTATATTTGCAAATAATAATTATTTCTTTTACTTGGAATTATCTGATTACACAATAATGATAGCTTCATTATTTTATTGACATTAATTGTCAGTAAAATAACAGTTAATGAAATAATATACTATATATTTACTGTTTAATTTTATTTTACTGCATTACTATATCAATTATAGTAGATGACTATGTATAAAGAATATTCAATAAACTATATAAGTTATTAAGTTTTATTTCACACTATCATATCGATTTTTTACATTTTATGCTCACTGACTAAATTAATGCAAATAGAACTTTTGCGAATTTAATTTAACTAATTAATGCAAAATTTTGCAACATGTTTAACAGAGTTGATAGTGGTATCAGTCGTATAACATCAACAGTTCCTCCTGTTACTTAATTATGATATGTATATTACAGAATTATGTTATAGTGATATAGTATTGTTATTACAGTATTAAATACTATATAATAGTATTACAACATTACAGTATAACAGCATTGTGGCATTACGGCATAATCTTTATAACAATCAAGTAGTGTATATAATTAATTTACATATCATCTAGTAAAATGCCAAAGCCATAATTCAGTAATTCTATCATCAACACTAGTCTGATCCAGTTATAATAATGTACAGTCTTAAGAATTAATCAGTACAAACTGGTTCAGAATAGGTTGGTCTTAAGATTAAGATCAGACTAATTTTTTTGACTTTCAGACTGGTCTTAAGATTGATTGTAGTTTATCAGTTTAGACTGAATGACATAACATCCCTAGATTAAAGTGCATAATGCACATAAAAGATCATTTTTTTTGCATAGCATATACTTTGCATAATTAGATGAAAGAAGTCATAAAAATTATATGCATATATTGTGATTGGTAGATGAATGTTTTGAAATAAATTCTATAAAGACCTGATGTAAGTTCTGAACAAATATAAAATACAAGAAAATTTTTTGATCAATGTTGAAAGATTCTAAAAAAAATAGACAAGTGACATATAAATTTAAATATATTGCATAATTTATCATATAAATTTGACTTATATCGCATCCATTTCAGAATTAGCTTCAGCCAAATTGCAAATTGCATAATTTATCTCATTGAATCACATAATTCTAAACATTCTAGTACACTATTTTTAATACTGACCATTTTATACACAGATTAGATACTATTAATTATTTGAAATTAGACCTGATATGCAATATGCTTCTGTGATAAAATTAAATTTATGCACTATTAACACATGATAGCATCTACAAAAAACTGTTATCACATAATAACATAAAACTGTTATCACATGATAACATTCACAAAACCATTAACAAGTGATAATGTTTACAAAAAACCATTATCATATAATAACATAAAACCATTATCATGTGATATCCATTAGTTATAGTTGAGTTAATTTTATGATAGGTTAAATAAAATCAATATCATATGATAACATCTACAAAAACTGTTATCATGTGATAATATTTATTAAAAAAACCCTTAATTTAATACTTTCTGCATTAACACCCTGTATTAACATCTTGCATTAACACCCTGCATTAATATTCTGCATTAATACCCCTATTTTCTGCACCTCTGCATATTTTAATTAATCATATAATGTTTAGAACTTTGCTTAAAAGTAGGTTTAAATCAACTTCAAAAAGTTCTTACTAAGTTAACTTAAAAACTAACTTCAATAAACTTTTTAACAACTCTAGTCTAAATAAACTTTTTTGAATTAATAGATTCAAATAAAAGTAACCAGAATAATCTAAGTATTCAGTACAATGATGAAAATAATTATGAAAGTGATCAAAATTGTCAAAATAAACAAATGAGTCAGTGTTATCTAATTAAAAAAAAAATTACAAATTGTAACAAAATTCAAATTGAGTTTTCAAAACTTATGGCTCAATAAATTTAGATAGCTTCAATATAATAAAGTGTCTCAATGAATGTTTTGTAAATATTGCAAGCATTATGAAAAACAAAATGTTTTTGAAACTAAAAATAAATAATATAAGTATTTATTATTATTTAAATAATATTTAATAATTTAAATATTATTATCATTATAGAGTCTGTAAATTTTGAATAAAAAGTTCTGTTAAAGAATATGTATTTTTAGATTAATATATAGATACAATAAAACTTGATATAGCTGAAAAAGCAAGCAATAAAGAATCAGTACAAGTTATACAAAAAAACAAAAATAAGTTATAAAAATCATATATATTCTTATAAGGCAAGATATTTCATTGGCCAAACTTTCTTATTTTATTTAAATGTTCTGTAAATTGAAGTCTTCATTTATTATGAAAGGCTCAATTTTTTATGAAAATGAAGTATTTGGTTATGAGTTTGCTTTTGTTACATCAAATATAATTAAAACTGAAATATGGAAAGAAATTATCAAGACAATATTTTTTAAAATTATAATTAATGAGAACACAGATATTTTTATAAATAAGTATTTAGTTATTTATATAATATATTCAAATAGCTTAGGTAATATCAATCTGCATTTTTTGCAATTATTTGCATTTAACCAAAGTGATGCAATGATGATAACTACTAAATTAATTTTACTGTTTCAAAATTATAATAAATATAATAATAATAATATATAGTAAAATTTATATTTTTTTATTAAATAAATACTTTTTTAATAGACATTATAGATAAATTAGTAGTTTTTGCCTTGAATAATACATCTATAATGATTGAAAACAAAAATAATGTTGTTTAACAATTATATAACATATGTCTTTATATTATTTACAATTACTATATTGCATATTATTTAGCATTAGCCTGCAAAGATTTACAAAAATAGCTTAATTATTTTGCTAGTATAGAGATTATTATTAAAAATATATATAAATTTTATAAAACTTAATAAAGCATATTAATATTCTTCAAGAATATTAATGAATTCTTAATTTTTCAGAATACATTTAAAAAATTAAAAGAAGTTTAATGTTTTGACTAGTATAATATTGTCAAAATTTTTGACAAAACATTATTTGCTGTACTTTTACAACTCAAAACTAATAATAGTAAAGTTGCTTACAATTTATATCAATAATTAAGTAACTGAAGACTAATTGGATTTTTTCATTTTATTTATGATATTTTAGATCAATTAATATTATTAAATAAATTTTTTCAAAAACAAAATCTTTTTTTTTATAATATTATTCTTATAATTAATGTTATAATTGAAAGCATTCAAAAAACTATATTTTAAATACAAATTTAGGCTATTACCTTCAAGTTTTTATTGATTATACAAATTCATTTAATAATAGTAATCAACAATCTAATATAATATACTATATATATATACTTGCATATAATAATTGTGATTATAATGATCTATTAAAAGATGTTTATGAATATACAAGTATTATAATTACTGAAATTACAAATTGCTTTCCAGATTGTCCTTTACTTGCAATAATGAAATTCTAAATTTGGTAAAATAATCATACAAAAAAGAAGATTTTTAGAATTTGGTCATAAAGAACTGCAAACATTATTAAATCATTATAGAACACCAAAAACTATTAATGGACAAATCTTTTTATCATTAATAGAATTAAATTCTTGTATAGTCGAATGGTCTGACTTTAAATATATAGTTTTTTTTAAATATTTAATATTTTTTTATAAGAGCTACTACCTGTTTTAATTTATGATTATTTTGATATTTTCTCCAATATTATTAAACTAGTTCACATTACTAACAGTATTCCTTTTTCAAGTGTAGATTGTGAATATGGGTTTTCTAAACAGAACACAATTAAAACTTATTTGTATAATTCATTAACTACATTTACTCTAGATGCATTTATGCAAATTTCATTAGAAGGAAAAAAAAGTAATGAAATGAATTGAGATAAAATATATCATGAATAGCATAATATAAAAGATAGATTCAATGTACAATAAATTGACAATAATTAAATTTTTGTAATTTGTATTTATCACTATTTTTTTTTTTTAAATATTGATTTTAATATCTGCATAAATTTGTAATAATTAATCATATTAGATATATAATAAGTAGTTGCACAATGTTGTTATACAAAACCAGAAATGAAAGAAATTTATACAGATACTATTTAAGTCATGGAAAAACATATTCTTCATTGCAATCCGAATATTGGTTTGAATTTCGGTGACTAAGTCTAAAAACCTATTAATGAAGTCAATGTCTGACTGCTATATAGTTGGTTAGCTAGCATCACTCAGTTATGTTGAATTTGAAAACATTAAAAATCTACAAAACATATTTGTATTTAGAAATGATCAACAAATTCTTTTGATTAGGTCCTTAACAATCAGTGATTATTATTTTATTTATCCAATAAAAAATTCAATAAAAAAAAATAAAAATTACCAAATATTTAGCATTGAGGCCTTTAAATTTATATTGGGACACTAATTTTTGTATCTAAAAAACTTATTTTTATTATCATTTGTTATAGCATCTTTGATTTTACAAATGTATGCACTTATTTATATTTTTTTAAAAACTATTAAATGATAATAAGTCATGCGGACTAATCAATTCCAAGATTTTGCATAAAGAGGCATTTGTTCCTGATATCTACTTTTAAAGTATTGTTCAAAGTGCTACACAAAGTCATGATGACAGATTACCCAATCATATACTGAGAATTCCACAGACACCTGTAAACTATACATTAAATATTAAATGCTTACATGTACAAGCACATGTGTAATAGTTATGCCACTAGTATAAGGTGTGAAATGGCATACAAAAAATAAGCAACACATAACATTATGTGATAAACAGAGTCACATGAACCAATCAAGTGCTAAGAATTGCACAGACACATTAACTTGCCTGTAAACTATAAGTAGCTATACAACATTGTTGCATGAAACTAGAAACAGGATAAATCTCTGCAGACACTATTTCAGTTACCAGAAACTATATTCTTCATTGCAATACATTCCTAATATAAGAAAACAACTCATTATAAAAGAAGTTGATAATACTTGCAATCTGAATATTGGTTTAAATTTTAGTGACTAAGACTAAAAACCTATTAATAAAGTTATCACTTAGTTCTGATGATCTGACCCAAAATTCTGGGGCCCTGCAAAAAACATTAAAAATTTATGAAACATATCTGTATTTAGAAATGATCGATGAATTACTTTGATTAAGTCTTTGATAATTAGTGATTATCATTTTATCAGTCCAATAAAAATTCAATAAAAAAAAATGAAAAGTACCAAATATTTAATATTGAGGACTTTAAATTTATATTGGGACACTAATTTTTGTTCCTAAAAAACTTATTTTTACTATTCTTTGTTATAGCATCATTGATTTTACAGATGTATATGTTCATTTATGTTTTTTTAAAAAATATTGAATGATGAATAAGTTACATAGACTAATCAATTCTAAGATTTTGCATACAGAGGCATTTGTTTCTTTTAAAGTATTGTTTGGGGTGCTACACAAAGTCATGATGACAGATTACCTAATCACATCCAAGATTTTGTACATCCACATCTGAATCACCTATAAACTATATACTACATTGTACATTGTACAAACTCTGTTCCTGGTATACACTATGTTGTACATTGTACAAACTCTGTTTCTGGATACACTACATTGTATGTTGTACAAACTTGTTCTTGGTATAATTGTTATACACCTGGCTAGAGGTTCTGAATTTTATTTAATAAAAAGATTATCAGAAAAAAAGCATCACTTCATGTCACGATTTTGTGCACAGATTATTATCTGGCTAAGTTATGTATTATGTGACATGGCTAACAAATAAGGATGACCTGGCTAGAAAAGTCAGAATTATCAGAAAGGACCGAAATGTAGGAAAAGTCCTTTTTGACCAAAAAGGTGAAGTAAGTAATGTAGTTAGTAATGGAGAGAATACTAATATAGTCGTAATCATTATAGTCTTAGACAATGTTAATATAAAACAAGAAAATATATATAGTAAATTGTTCTTATAAATAAAGGCCGTAAAGGCCCTAAGGAAAGAAAGACAAGTCTTTGACTTTATTAAAATAATATCTGATCCTTACATAATAATAAATATATAAACACCTTACTTGCTATATTAACTAATTGCTAAATCTTCAGACCATAAAACCTAATTCTTGTAATTGACTGTTCTATCTTGTAGTATTATTACTCTCCATCCAGCTGTTGTATCCTAAAGTACTAGGATCAGCCTGGTTGTATCATTCTACTATCCCAAAGGACTGAGGATAATGTAGTTATACGTGTTGTCCAATTACCCGAAGTAGTAAGGTGATTGAGGATTAAAGTTAATAGAAAGTTCAAACAAGGAAAACCACAGTACAAGCAATGAAGAAATACTTATCTATGGACCCAAACCACTGACCAAATCTAAACACCTCTTTTTGACTAAGCAACCATAGGTATATGAGAAATTAGATTGTAGATTGACTGACTTGCCATATCACCTGATTTCAGTATTTAAATAAAAAAAGCTTTTTTATTTATATTATCTTTTTGTTGAGGGAATGATCACGACCAGTATTATCAGAGCAGATCACTTTATTATTCCATGCAGTATTGTGAATAGGTATTTGAAACAGGTCACGCTCAGTATTGGAGCAGGTAATGTTTGATATTGAATCAGGAGAGTTACGGCATAAATCATGATGCATGATTCATTAAAATTATTTACTTATCAACACATTTTTCTGACACCATAATGCTGACATGCTATTTCATCTACAGCAAATTTTTTTGATAAGACATATATGTTTTTTCAACAATCCTTTTTCTATACTAGACATTTTCCCGAAAATTACATTAAGAACTATTTTTAAACTACCCAAAATTTAAAAATGTTGACTACTAATATATAAATACAAATTTTGACTGAAATAATTATATGTGCTGATTTGGTTCGACCCCAAAATTTATTACTGCTTGATAGTATAAGTCAGTTAAATGACTTAATATATATTATTATGAATAAATGAATTGATCATTTACTATATCAGATATTAAATTTAATTATACTCTAATTATAGTTTCTGTTTAAATTGTTTAGAATATCTCGAACTATATAATAATAAATAGTTATCAGGCAGGCACTGCCTGATAATGGATTTATTAGGTAGCTTATTATAATTTTCTGCTCAATGATTTATTAATAGGTAGAAATGATAGTTTAAACTATTTTAAACTATTTTAAACTTTTTTTTCTCTCTAATAATAAAATTATTAGGCAGATAAATCATAGTAAGCTGCCTGATAATTAGTATTACTTGGGTTTTAACACTTAATTTATTATAATTAAAAAATATGTAATGCTAATTAGCATATAGTTTTGGCTATTTCAAGTAGTTTAAATTTAATATAAAATATATTTATTTAATATCAATATTTATTTAAATTTTATATCGTAAAATTGTTAATTTAAATTATATCTCAAAACTGGCATAAATATAATTACAAACATAATTATCCCCAAAATAAAATAATTAAATGTAAAATATGATCAAATACATATATATATGATATTTTAAATGAAGGATTTTATCTGGCATTACCAATTTTACAAAAAACTGCAAAACCCAGTGAATATAAAATACCTACTTAATATAAAGTAAAAACTACTTGGGAAAAAGCAAAAAATAAATTTACAATAACTGCTTCTATTGATTATATCAAACAAAAACCTACTTATAAAATTCAAT